GTGTCAGAGCAGAGTCAATTAATCAAGTCTGCTCCATGTTCTAGTTAGAATGCTCCTGCGTGGCCTCACCATTGTGTGCATAAACCACCATACATTTAAAAGTGGCCATTGAGGTAGTTTATCTAAACCGCATCAAATGAGGTTTAAATAAAGCATCCTGCAGCCATTTTAAAACCTGCAGGAGCTTAATACATCTGACAATGAGGCATTTTAATTAGAGTGGGTCTCCAGGAACCACTCTAATCAAAACAACCCCTCCATCCCCGAGCATGTGTACAGGCAGCCTAAGACTCTGGGGGTAGGGACAGAAATGACACAAACTGGTATAACTGATTGGAAACTAGTGCAAATGTATAACAAGAGAAGTTCAGTACATAGAAACCATTTTCAAAATGGCCTAAGCCAATTTAAGTTAAACTTGGGTGGATGTAGTATCAGACCTGATTTAAGTTAAATCAGCTTATTGAACTTCTGTCCCAGATCCCCTCCAGATTCAAGTCAACTCACAGACCCCCAACATCCCAGGATGCTTTGCACCTCCTCCATGAACCCCCCTTACAGGGCAGGCGGGCTAGGCTTGGCTTAAGCCACAAAGGGAGGGAAACTCTAGCAGTTCCTGGCTTCTAGCCTGAGCCACTGCAGGAATGTGGCTGCATTTTCCAAATCCAAATGAATGCTTTTTCACTTGTGTATTGGTTCAATCTACACAGTTTAAACTAACCTATGAAGATTGAATCAATTCAGCCCTAGGCTTTTTAACTGTCTGTACTTAGCCTGGCTCTTTGTCCTGTCCCCTTTGGCTGTGGATAATAGTCTATCACCATCCTCTCTATAGCCACTTTTCAGATACTTGAAGACTATTTCCAAATCCCTCCTCAGTCTTCTGTTCTCCAGACTAAATAATTCCAGTTAAAAACTAAAGTCAGTTCATTGTACACTGGAATGGGATAGATTCTTCTAACCAATGAGAACAGAAACAGAAACACCATGGTTTGAAAACAGTGTTAATGCAAAGCTGTTCATGACCACAGTGTTCAAAACACAGCCAGGAGGTCTTACATGGCTTGGATTCAGTACAGCATGACCAGCACAGTATCTACTGCAGGCAGAAGGTTCGAATTCAAAAGTTCATTCAGCTTAATGAAAACACCAAGTTGCAGATTCTTTTGTTTAACGAAGAACCCTGCATTCATGTAACCTCCATACAGATTAGCAGAGCCGAATAACCCTGCAGTCACTAGGCACATATTTTGACTTCAGTTCCATCCCCAGGTTCCATTGTTTGAGCCTCTTAGTGTTAAAGAGCCCCAAGTTCATTTTGTGGTTGCTGTATTGCCCCTAACAGTACTTCCTGTGCTGTCTGCCAAAGGCACACACCTGTACCTCTCCAGATCCCCAAGAGTTCGTTTAATAAGGTTGTGTCTGCTCTAACATGTCTTGCCCACTAGGATTTTCCTTCCAATTTACTGCTATTTCCTTCCCCCTAGTTGTTCTCTCCTTGTCCAAGTGCACATTGCAGTGGCCTCCCGGGAAGGGCTCAGCCCTTCCAGCAAGAATAGACACTCTCTAGACTAGCTATCCCTAATTAACCCTAATCCAAAAAAAACTTCCTCTCTTTTCTAGCACTGCCCCCACCAGCTTTTTTGTTAAAGCATTAAATGCTCACTGTCCCTGCTTTTAAATGCTCTTACTTTGGGTATAAAGACCTGGTGCTTCTATCACTAATAGCAGTAAAACTCCAACACTAGTTGAGTTTCTCCTTTTAATCTCTGTCTAAGGCTTTTGCTTCCTGGCTATTCCTCTTGATTTTACTTTGGTGTAGCTGTCTGTTCTTTTATAGGATTCAGCAGGGGGCAAAATCCACACCTCTCCCCAAAACCCAATCAGACTTTCACACCAATTAAGCTTATTGACACCAGATTTGATACATTCCTTAACAATGATGCAAATGCTTTCTTAAAGCAAACAACCCCTTTAAAATAGGAGCTCAGAAAAAATAATTCACAGGAAAGGTTTTAAAGTGAAAAAACCGTGCAAACGGACTGAGATGATTTCAGAGGCCGGCACTGCAGAGAGATCAAATCCCTTTTAACCCTTAATCCCCTTTAAACTGGAGAAAAGAAACGGTTGCAACAATTTTAAAAGATGTTTTGTAATAGAACATAACTTTAATGACTCGCAGCATTTTTTTTTTTTGTCAGAAGATCCAAAAACACCAGGGAAAAGAAAGAGGGAGCCAGAGGCCGCTGGGGGCTGTGGGAACTAGGGTGACTGGGAGGCAGTCAGAAGAGGAGTGAATCTGGGGTTTTTTAAGGCAAGAAATGGAGGGAGCTGAAGAACACAAAGCAGCCTGTGGGAGGATATGGGAGATCAGGGACAGCCTCCCCTAGTCTGTCCCTGCTTCCAATTACTTTTCCTCCTCCCCACCCTATAATTCTCCCTTTATCCTGCATATTCACCTCCTCACTCCCTTCTGTTCCCATCAAGCTGTTTTCCCACTTCTCTAACATATAACCTGGTCATCAACAGGGGGATCAGTTCTGTTGGCTAAAGCCGTAGCAGCTGCCCCTAGCAAAAAAGGAACAATTGCAATAAAATTCCCATTTAACTGATTCCCAAGCCCTGCAGTATGTGTGAGGTAGCAGTGGGACCACAAGAATGTACAGGAAGGGAAGGCTTCTCAATCTCTGTTCAAAGAGACAATATGATCTGAACATTTTCTTTTTCAATGAAATACTAAAACCCATAATGCTCATGTTTCTCCCCCTATGCTTCTGTATTGCCTGCCTCATTGCATGACTCAAAGCAGGAGCTGGGCACTTTCGCATTTTTCACCTATGAGATGCATGCGTAAGCACTGGATTACCTTCAAAAATCTTGTCCTAGGGGTCTAATAACTTTGGAAAATGTGATTTAAACTAAAACATTTAAGTGCTTTAAAAATTCTATGTACTATTTATTTCTTAGATTATTATACTTGTATAATCATAGTCAGTCTGTGCTACTAATTAGTTGAGAGGCTTTAGTTTAGTTTACTGGACTAAATATGGGGCTCAAAGCAGGACTCAACCTCTGAGCCTCCATTTCCCAGTTTTACAAATAAGGCTGATAATACTTCCCTAGGTCACAGGGCTGTTAGAAGAACTAATTAGCTACTATTTCCTAAGTATTAAAAAGTCATTCTTATTTCTGAGAATGTTTCTTGTCAACCTTTAGTATGAACCCAAGTGTTTTCCAGAGCATGTAGGTATAGATGTCAGACAATGACATCTATTCCACTATAAACTGAGGGGTCTGACTTTCGGAAATGCTAAGTATACACAAATCTCACTGGTGCTAATTGGGAAGACAGCATATCCTCAGCACTCCTGAAAAATCAGGCTACCTAATTGTAGTTAAAAAAGAAAAAGAAGAAGAAAAAAAAAAAAAAGAAGTGGGGGATGGGACGGGGACTTAGACTCACATATGAATCGATAAATTATCCCTACCTTCAAAGCACAAATTATCTGCTCTTGGTTACAGATACAGCTTGCGTCTGAAACGCATCTTGAGAACATATCACATGTTTCCTCCCTTCTCCACATGGAGGAAATTTATCTGGCTGAGAACATCGGAAATGGTCTTTGTTCAAAATGTCAAACAAGCTTCCAATATTGCTTCATTTAAACATAAATTTCAATCTTGTTTGTTCAGAAATGACTACTGCCTGATCATGCCAAGAAAACCCAACTCTGTCCGACAGTCAAACTCCAGTTATTTATTAGGATATTTTTTGGCCTCATTTAAACATTTGTTTTCATTTATCAGGCTGAACATTGGTTGGCTGCATAGTGAACCAGACTATGACCCCCAATTCACTCTTCCACCAATTCTCTCCACATCACTTAATTGTCTGGATATAACCAGTCCTTCATGGCAATTAACACTGGCGTGAGTTTGTAAATTGCTAACTCGCAAATGACTAGATTTTTTGAGGTAGAATGAATTAATATCTATAACACTAAATGAGATACTGTGAACGAAATACAGAACTGCTGATTCCAAATCCTGCCTCTGAGTAAATACTCTCTGCCTGTACTTTCCTATATATGGAATGGGTTCACTATCCTTTCTTGTCCACTCTGCAGCTTGAGGGGAACTGACTTAAATGAGATTTAAGTGCTCATGAGTAAAGAGATTTTGGTGAGTTGTAGAATTATCAGAAAAGGCATCCCCCAATTGCTATTTTCTTAATACTTAAAAGTCAATTTAATTAAGTATCAAAATATCGAACTTTAACACAGTATGACAATAGACATTTTTTTTTAAACAGAGGAAGCTAGAGAATGAATAGTTTTGAGGTTATCCACTACAGAAACACACAGGATGGCATGTTTATAATTCTAGAATGAAAATGGCAAACAAGCATTAGATTATTTTAATAGTCTTATATTGTTTCTCTATTTACTAGAGAAAAACAGAACTATTTAACCAGTTCCCAATGAACTGAGAAATGACTTCTGACACCATTTTTATTGTCTACCGAGTAGAAAATTATCAACAAGTCTACAATAATATGTGGAATCACAGAGTGGGAAATTGGTATAATGTTCAAGATTTGGTGGTGGAGAGAGAAACTACTTGCCACACATTTTTTCAATCTCAGAGGGTGTCATTTAATTTCTTGAGCACAACTACAATGCTTTGTGATTAAATAAAAATCCTCCTGGTGATAAAGGTACAAAATGGACTGCATATCTACCTAACTTCAGGCTTTGGGAGGACTTCAACAACCCAGCTAGCAAGTTGGCCAAGATGGCTCATTGGCTCCATATGATGGGTAGGTCAAGGTTCTAACCCAAACTCATTTGTGTTCAATGGTATCAAAATCATGAAAGCAGCTCTTACAAAATTTGGGGCTAAAAATGACAAAGAGGTTTATACAACTTTGACAGGCACATATCTAATAATTACAGCACAAAATTGGAACTTATGCAAAAGAAAGAAAGATAAGACCTCACCTTTCTCATTTCCTGATAATGCCACGTGAACAGTTTTTTCCCCTTAGCTACGGGTAAACAACAAACAGAAGACTACAGACCTGGGGCTTCCACGTGACATCCAGAGTGAAGTCTGTCACAGTCCTATAAGAAAATAAAAGAAATGTATTTTATTCCACTGCCTGGGCTGCTTAGAAAGGCACAGGGTGGGCCAGGGGCTGACCGGCCCGCGGTGGGAACTTTAGTCTTTTATGGGCTCAGCCCCCCAACTCCCCCATAATTCAAACCCTGGTTACAAAGATGTACTACCAGGCTCAAATCTTGGTACTAGTGAAGTCCACAAAGATATTTTTAACTGGACTTCAGCAGGGCCAGAGTTTATCCCCAAGTTTCACTTTTATAACACCAGGGGCAGGGAGTCGGACACAATGATCCATTGTGGTCCCTTTGACTCTATAATCTATGAATAACAGCATAGTTACACTGGGACCTTCTATTGAAAGGAAAATTAATACTTGTATAAAAGTGTGTTGTTTATTTTATTTAAAATGTTGTCATTAGGATCACTTTAAAAATAATATAAAGTATATTGTAGATAGCTACATATATTTTGGAAAAATCATCAAATCATGAGTAACAGTTAGCCAAAGGGGAAAGTCAACATTCAGTTCTTAACGTGCTACTATGAAAAATTCAAAAGCTCTTTCCTTAAACTAAATGATAGTGACTAAGGGCCATTATAAAAAAAAAGAGAGAGAGAGTTCTTGTTTTACATCCCTTTGCTTCTAGTAGATCGCATTTGTAGATATTGCAAAATTCTACATCTTTTTCAAAATCTAACAAGAACAGAGTTGGCTCCCACCAGTCATTTTCCAAGAGACTAGATCCCTAAATCCCAATATCATATCTTGCGGGGGTTACAGACATCACATAAAACCAAATTTTTCCAAGCATAAAGACATCAACACCAAAACCTGCCAAAACATCAACTTTCTTAGCATGAGCAGAGTTTTATACTCAGACAGATACATGGAATAAAATGTTTTAGGTTCATCCTGGGAAAATAATAGCAAACACAAGTGGAAAATACAACCCACTATAAGAAATGATGATTTGGTTTTTATTTTCTTCATAGACCTAAAGCAGAAAGAGCTGAACACCAGTTGAAGCTAGATAATTTGTTACTATAAAGAGGCTAGGTTACCGTTTTATAATGTTCCTCAGCAGGCAGAAATTAATTTTTAAGACTAGCAATATGGAAATGATCTATGATCATGCTTATAATTACTTAAAGGCTATGGATATCGTCTAGAATACTTTAGTTGAGTATCAACAAATAACTAACATAAAACCCTAGTAAATTAGTAAATGAAATGTCACTTTTGATTTTGGCAAGTTAGATAGCCACATGAAGTACCGTATTTACTCGATTCTAAGATAAGACCCCACTATTTAACATGGTGGGAAGTCCCTCATCTTAGAATCACGTATGTGTGTGAGTGGGGAGGGAGGGGGGGCAGGTGGCTGCTGTTACTCAGAGTCCAGGCCTTACCTGGAATTGGGGCCATAGCTGCTGCCTCTGCATCCTGCTATCTCCCTCCTGCATGTAGCCTCTGCTCACCCACCTACCCCTCTCCCCTGGCTTCACTCCATGCCAGTTGCATCTGTGGACACTTCAGCCAGGGGCACCAAGTACAGCCCCAGCCTGGCCCTCCAACAGCAGAGCACAGCCTGCACAGCTGCTGCACTAGCTGGGCTGGGGCTATGCTCCATGCTCAGCATCTCCAGCTAGAATGAGAATGGAGCCTGCCAGTGTGAAGCAGAGGCTGGGGAGCACAGGGAGGAGCAGAGGTGGTACGGGGGAAGGCGCAAGCAGGGGGCAAGCTGCTTGACCTTCCCACACCACCTGCCTCTCACTGCCTGCCCCTTGCAGTGATGAGAGGCATGAATTGAAGATGACCCTCCAATAATTAGATTCTATACATGGAAAATTGACAAATCTATAATTTTTATACATATAGAATCTAATATTAGGGGGTCATCTGAAATTCAGAATCATCTTAGATTTGAGTAAATATGGTAATTTATGCATGTTAATCAATTTATTTAGCATATATCAGATGACAATAGATTCAGCAAGTGTCTCGAGTTGGGATTTTAAGCAAGACATTCCACATTTCTAAGGGTCAGTTTCCTGCCACCCCCACTACCAATCTAAAATGGAACCTCCTATACACATTTCATTAAGTGTTGTCTGTTGTATTGTTCGTAATGCATTTTGAGATGGATGAGAAAAGTTAAATCATAACAAAGTATTAGAACAGGATGAAAACCCTTGTTGAAAAGGAAACCAACATTTCCATTTTTTACCATGGCAAAAAATGAGAATTTGGAACTCATTGCCACAGGACAGGTAGTATAATCCAGAAGTATAACCTTATAAAAAAAAAAAAAAAAAAAAAGGAACTACACAAATATTTCCAGGGTAAATTCTTCAGGGGCTATTAAACAGAACAGTTAGGGATGTTACCTATTGCTGATGACTGGGAGGGTATGACAGGGTATGACCCTTCATGCTATTTCTTACAGGATATGGACCTTCTAGCTTCTTTAAAAAGGGAGCAGCTGCTGCTACTGGAGCCTGCAACAGCTGTTACATCTTGTAATAATGCTGGTTATTTACATTGCTCTAGCCTTGACTCTGAACAAAATGGGGTTAAATTTACAATTATTTTACTACACCTGTATCACTAAAGAATCATGCAAACATAACAGCAACATCGTAACAATTTATATTGAGATTATCTGATATGGATAGTCTTCTGTCTACGCCTACTCTTATTCTAAAGCAGTAGTGCCCAACTCATCCAGCCCTGTGGGCTGGATCCAGTACATGCTAGGCTGATCTGCAGGCTGGATCCAGCATGAGGTAGACTCCTCACCCCACTGCCACATTTCTGGATCCATGAGTGCAGGCAGCAATTAACACTACCACTGCTCCCCCATCACCAAATGTCCAGACCTATGGAAGCCCCATGGGCTAGATGACAGTTCCATGGATGGGACTGAGCCTGCAGGACATATCTTGGTCACCCCTTTTCTAAAGCATTCTCTATTTGCCAGTGTCTGACAGTGTACAGAAGAACCTTTCCTCTGACACAACGTGGCAGCTCTTATGTTAAGCAACACCTCCCCCCACCAAAAAAAGTAAATAAAATAAAGCCTTTTTATTTTGAAGCCTGAGACATTCAACATAATCATTTGACAGTCATGAAAAGGTCTCTGGCTCTGAGAAAATCATAAAACAAGGGTCCCTAAAACAGCCTGCAAATCCTGTATGAAGAAATGTCTGAAATCGATGTCAACAAGGGTATATTTAGCCTACAGGATTTTTTTTTTTACTGGTGATGATACTTGAGAAAGAAAAACCCAGCTTGGCTGTCTGATCCTCAAAAGAACTGGCAGCTAGGAAAATATTCCTTAACGCTTTAGATCTGATCTGGGGCCACTGATCCACAAGAAACACAGTGCTGGCATTTTCATCCTGTTTTTCAGCTATTTCTTAAAATTCTAAACTCAGTCTTTATGATTTTAAAACATTGGGATTCATTATCTTTCCCATTCCCTTTCCCTTTTCTCAAGATCATTTGCATTCC